CTTTAATCATATTTTTAGCTAACTTAAAACAGTTAAATTAAATCAGGTTAGGGAACTTCCTATTCTTCTTAAACGGAATCGCTATATCTACAAATTATTTTATACTTTTTAGTTCTTTTTGTAATAAAAGCGTGTTTTTAGTTTTTTTAACTATAATATTATTTGTTATTGTTTTACGCGTATATATGTATGTACTTTTGCTGGTATCACAGTAAACATGCCGCTCTTGCATTTCATTTCATTGTTGTTATTGTTAACCTCAGCTGTCATGGGCGTTGATGGTGCAAATTGTTGGACATGGCCCAAAAATGGCCGTACGACTTTTCGGGGTCATTTGGTATGCGATAAATTTTTTAAAAATTCAAAATGTCAAATGAACAGTATGACAAGAGTATGCGAGGAGTGGAGAGCATGAGGAGATAAAAAAGGGCATGAACTAGCACAGAAGGGCAGGTATAAATAATGAAAAAGCGATTGCGGTCACCAGCAGAAAGAAATGCATGATGAGCGTAATGTAAAACCAAATGAAGCGTTACAAGATGAGTAATCTGGGCGAGCATGGGGTCAAATTTTAATATAAAAGAGCCATTCTAAGGGCGAATGTAGAATGAAGAGATGACCAGCAAAGAAAGTGGAGCACTGCGGCTGCTGTGTCAACTAATCACCTACAATGTGGGCCACCACAGCTTAGCATATAAGCTGTATATATGTATGTATTTGTAAAGATATTTGCATGTAATAGCCAACTATGGTAGAGAGGGGTTTGAAAGGATTCTCGTTTTATGTGCATGTAGAAACTTGCATGCTACACCCACACCTACATATGTACTTTGGAACATCTCAGCTCTTTGTCGCTGCTGCTGTTGACTAATACACCAAAGTGGAAGTCAGCTCAGCTGCTGGCGATTTGCCGGTACTTTACCCGATAACTACCTTGGCAAGCTACCGAGAAAAAAAATAAATAAATTACACGCTCACTTTGTTAATCCGATTTTCTATTTTGCTCTCTCTTTCTCTATTCTTCACCTTCAACCAACGCATGTCATCACCGCCACCACCACATCATCATATTCGCCAGCGCAGCACTTGTGGCCTTTTCAGAAATTCGACAATTGAAGGGTGCATCACATGCTGTTCGACAACGTTCTATAATTCGGCATCGATTTGGAAAATTTCGAACAAGACGAACCGGCGCGACCACAAATCGACACTAAAAATCTACTAGTGCTCACATCAACATCTGCAGCATCAGAACTGTTTGCTTCATCATCGCTTACAGCCGTGGGGGACATGAATGGCGGCGACAATGAGTGGCAGCACGAACAGGAAGCAACAGCCCGTATAAGCGGCATCATTAGCACAACTACAGCAGCAATAACAACAAAACTACAATCAACATTTGGCATAGCAACACATGAGGCCGAGACTCACCACATTCACCGCATGCCAGATGGCAAAAGCAGGGTGGCGAGACCAAGGCCACAGCGCCACCCGGTAATCATGTCACGTACGAATGGCGCATCAGTAAGACTGGCCTGACTTTTCGGAAGAAGTAAGTGTTTCACATTTTTATTTCAATGTGGTGCTGTAGGTTGAAAAATTGAAAACTGGCCTAGGTGTTGCACAGGGGGAGACAGCGACAAACAAAAAGTGGGACAAGTATCACAATTTTTCGCTGTAATAATTGAACATATTTTTTCAGTCAAAATTTAGTCGAAGCGAACGGAAATCTTTAAAAATTTGATTGCCAGATGCAAATAAAATATCCATAAGTACAAAAATAATATTTTAATTATTTTTAATTTTGCTGCATGGCTTAGCGTTTTTCTGATGCCGCCTAACGTAAGACTACAAAATAATCTGTTGTGGCGTCGCGTTTTTCTGTCTGTTCCTGAAATCACTTGCCAAATAGCAATAATAGTTCTTCAAAAGTCTTCTATGAGCTTTTGGTTGTTCGATGAAATAAATATTTCGATACCTGCTAAGGAAAAAAAAATTACAGTAATGCAACAGAAATTAAAAGCAAATTAGCCGATTTGTTGATCAAGTCTACGGCGCACAGTGTTCTATTTTGGAAAAAGGGACAAAATTAAATATCACGATATTTCGAAAGAGAAGAGGTAGCGAAATAAATGTAACGATGATTTAAGGCCTTTCAAATGGAGAATTCAGGAAAAATAGTCTCATTGGATCGAAAAATTACTTTGATTTTTAAAATGATCTTAAAAAATAGATTTAAAATTTTTTTCTTTTTTGGTCTGAAACCGGTATGCAATTAACTTTTTAAAAAGTTTTAACACAAGTATTTGCTGTTCTTGCGTCAAGAAATCCATATCCATGCTCGCAAACATAAAATAACGGATTTTATACATTTTAAGTTTATTGCATACTATTTTTTGGTAATAAAAAAAAAAACACAAAAAATCGAAAAACTTACCTTGGGTTGATTTTGAGGTTAAAGTTATTTTTCATTCAATCAGATCTTCAAAAGTAAAATTTTAGATTTTTTGTGTGTTCTCTATTACCGAAAAACATTTTGGAATAAATTTAAGAACAAATAAATGCGACCATAGAAATGGATTTCATGACGCACGAACAGCAAAGATATGTATTTAAAACTTTTTAAAAATTCTTTTTATACTGGTTTCAAACAAAAAAAAAAAGAATACAATTTGAAAATCTTTTATATTTGTTGATAGTTTTAGAAGCCAAGTCCCCATTTTAAAAGCTTTAAAGTTTCGTTACATTTATTTCGATATCTTTTCTCTTTCTGTTTTTCTAAATAAAACACAATGCGGCGTAGCCAACAATACTTCTGAAACCAAGACAAGCTTATTGTTCCTCTATTACTTGGTAACTTTATAGAAATATATTTATGGATATCTTTAGAGATATTTTTTCAAAGTTATTGATAAATCTATTTTTAGAAATTTTTGCTGATAATACTAAATATGTAATTCGTTAATTTTTATGTACGTATTTATCGAAACCGTTCTCATTATATTTGTCGAAATCTTTACAGGTTTTGTTATTAAATTCATTCTCGATATATTTATCGGAATTTGTACAGCTATTTGTATCGAAATATATATCGAAATATCGAAAGCATTTATGGTAATCGAAGTATTTTAAATTTTCGAAATCATCGATCCCTATGTCGTAGCATCATCCACATTTGCTATTTTTACTATTACATTTATCGAAATCATTATCGATATATTTTTTGTAATCGTTAATAAAATTTTTAGATTATTTAAAAACAAATTGTATTCGACTCGTAACCGTAACCGTTTTCGTTCACTTTTTATACGGATCTTCATTCCTGTTAATATTCATATATATTTATCGAAAAAACTATCGATATATTTATTTAAATTTATATCGATACATTGTGTCGATGGCGTTGTTCGTATGTATAAAAATCGATGGTGACTTCTTTGTCTTTGTCTTCTATTTATACTCATTTTTTTCGGTTAGTAACCGTACTTCTACTGATATGCGTATTTGTAATCGCTTATAAAATATAGATATGTGCTGGTTTGAATGGGCTTCAGACTCCGGCATGGCAATACATTCATCTTTAGCGTATCACTAGTTAACAAAAAAAAACAAAAATCCGTTTGGACTTTTTTAATCGCTCTTTATGAATTCTGTCCCAATGTACAGTTTCTGTCAAGGAGCCCAACAAGTTGGCGCTAGTATTGGCTTAGCAATTGTCGCAATATCGTCCCTATGTCACGTTCAACTGAATTGCATTTGTTGCATTTCGCGCTCGCCGAGTCAGCATATTTGTCCTGTGCAACTAGCTGCAATCTGCCTACGTGGCGTATGAGTAACCACTTTGTCATTTGTACAGCAATAAATCCATCGATTAGCCAGCCTTACAAAGTATCCACCCTACATACAAGTATTTTATTTAATCAATACATTTTGGTTTATGATATCTTTCTCTGTTGTACTCCACAGCGTCGCCCAATCACTTTTGTACGCCTACGCTATCACACGCCCACCCACAACGCCTTGGAGTCGCATGTCGAGGCAGATATCGAGGTGGTTGACAACGCGTATTGCGTGGATTATGGCCTGAGTATTCCCGACACGTGCGAAGTGTGCGGCCAGGAGAAGTGTGCCAGTCGGCAGGCTGGCGATTGGACGTTGTGTCAGCGTGCTCGCTGCTTCGGTCGCAATACAGCCATGCAAAAGCGTGAAGTCAAGTATCGCTTTGTGAATGGCACAGAGGCAACGGACGCCTGTAGTGTGTCACAGCGTTCCATTAGTCACATTAGTCGACAGGATAGCACTCCACTGAACGTTGCAAGGGTTTTTGACGTTTGGAGCCATGGTCGAAGGTAAGTGTCACAACGCATAGCAGCGCATCCAATGCAGTTACATAGGCCGTTTGGACTCGACTTTCATTCTATTGACTTACATCGATTCTTTTTTCGTCACAATGTTGCAGTGTAAAGCGCAATGCGGTCACCAGGGAATTAAATACCGCATTTTACAGTGTGTTTGGTATGGCACATGGCGACCGGCGGGCAATGCGTGTCACCATCAGTTGCGTCCTGCGGTAATGAAAGTGCGTAAGAGTTCGCCCTGCTATTCGAAATGTGAGTAAACATTTCTAACTGAATTAACAAAAAGGAAAAGGTTATCAGTTTGTCGAACAATTTTTTTTTGTTTTGTTTGTTTTTTATGTATGTTACCGCATAACTTCCGAACATTGGATCATGAAGAAATTAACGATAATCTTTAATTTTTATATGAGAATTGAAGTCGGTTTTGTTCTTTGCTTAAAACTTACCAGTTATATATTTTTGAAACTGAAGGTCTGACAGAACAGAACTCAGGAACAGAGCGAAAAAATTAAATATTAAAAGATATGGATAATTTCTTGAACAGGTATAGCCAGCCAAAATTGTATACCAAATTGAAATTTTATGGCTAAAAAAAATTTGGCAGCAAAAGAAGAATTGATAGCAAGCAAAAATTGTATAGCAAACGCAAATTTTATGGGCACCAAAATTTTGATATCAAACAAAAATTTTATATAAAACAAAAATGTTATAGTAAACAAAAATTTTATATTAAAAAAATTTTATAATAAATAAAAAAAATACATACATACATATAATTGTACATTAGACTGCATCACCAAAAAAAGTTGCGATTGTTCCGCCGGATTTACAAAACTTATTATATTTTAAGACTTTTTGAAAAAAATCCCCTCAGGTGACAAACTAGTTTAAGCTAAAAAATCTGTATAAAAATATTCTAAAATTTTTAACGGAATCATATCAATCAGATTTTTTATGCTTTTTTTCAACTTTTTTCAGAGATTTTTTTTAGACTTGTGAGGTATCAGTGGAAAGGTATTTTCTCACCCTTTTTATTCCTTTGCAAAAAAACTCATTAACGTCCAAATTTTCTCTTTATCAAATACCAACGTATCTTAACTCAACATGGAATGTGGCTCGTTTGTTTTACCTTTTCCTTTCATGCTTTGAATGAGCTTATTCCTTTCCAATGATACCTCATAAGTCTGAATCGGTAAAGTGCAGGCTGAGTTATTCAAGTTGTTCTTAAACCAGTCTTTGAAAAAAGTTCAAAAACAGCATCAAAAATCTCATTAATATGATTCCGTTGAAATTTTATTTTTTTTAAATATTTTTATTAGAGTTGCCAGATTTTTATGCGCGAAACCAATACGTTAGATATTTCCATGCTTAAAAAATCAGCACTTTTCAGTACACTTTTACTCAAAGAAAAATTATGAACGTAAGTAACAGATAATACTTTAAAACGCCAGAGTACTTGTTTTTGACAATATTTTGGTATATAAATAAAACATAGTTCATAAAAAATAAAAATATTATTAATTTGAACATTTTACATTTCATTTAAAATTACTTTTAATTTGAAGTTCAGTTTCAAAAATTTTATTTAGAAGCCGGTTCCTCTTTTTGCAAAATTAAATATTTTTTCAAACTGTGGGAAAGTACCTAAGGACTTCATCTATATTTCCTGGAAAAATGGAAAAAATAAGAATTCTCTAAAAAGAGTATCTTGTATGCAAAACTCTTGCAATGTCAGTAAATTGAGAAAAAAAAAATATTAAGCTGAATTTACATGAGGCGATTTTCTAGGCGATTCAGTATTGCTCAAGAAAAATCGCTAGTGTAAATGGTGATCCAAAAATCGCCTGCCTCAGGGTTGACAGCAAGTCAACTTTTCCAGGCGATTATCGCCTGTCAAAAATTGCTTCGTCTAAGGGCACATTCGAATATTCAAATTTGCTGTTATTAAACTGAAGNAACACTGATTTTGGTAATAAAATTCAATGATTTGCAAGCGTTGCTCGTTAGTAAGTCTATTCATGATGAAATGTCAAAGCATACTGAGCATCTTTCTCTTTGACACCATGTCTGAAATCCCACGTGATCTGTCAAATACTAATGCATGAAAATCCTAACCTCAAAAAAATCACCCGATATATACATCTGTTTTTGCTTAAGGTTATATTTTTTGTCTTCTTTCTATCTCGATCCCTACCTCTACCCCTGTTCGTTCTAATTACATTTATAACATTTTGTTTTTCTCTATCTTTATTTGTATCTTTATACCCTATCGATAACAAAATCGATAGTAACATCCAACAAAATATCGATAACAAAACCGATACAAATTACGATAATGAAATTGATAATAATATTGATAGCAAAATCGATTACAAAATCGATAAAAAATATCGATACAAATAACGATAACAAAATCGGTAAATAATCGATACCAAAGATTTATTAGGAAATCGATAAAATTATCAATAACAAAATCGATATAACAAAATAGATAAAAATATCGATAAAAAAATCGATACAAATAATCGGTACCAAAAATCCATTCGGAAATCCATAAAAATACACATAAAATTATCGATAACAAAATTGATAAAAATATCGATAACAAAATCGATGAATAATCGATAACAAAAATGGACTAGAAAATCGATAAAAATATCGATAAAAATATAGATAACAAAATTGATAAAAATATCGAGAAAAAAATCGATAAGTAGTCGATAACAAAATCGAGAAAAATATCACAATAACAAAACCGACAAAAATATCGGTTAGTATTTTGATCTTTCCTTGTCTATCTTCATCTCTACTTTTATCGGTATCCTCATCCTCATATTTTGCTTTATATTTATCTTTATTTTTATACCCGCGCGCACTTGTGCACAAGGGTGTTATAACTTTGTTCACATAACGGTTGTTTGTAACAGGCAAAACGAATCTAAATAGATATAGACATGTATACATGTCNACTCGCCAAAAAAAACGTCAGCCTTCATTTTAAATAATTTAACCTCCATCATATTATCGCAACTGGTGCGTATCGACCCGGTGATGTGCCCATAAAGCGATTGATACCTTTGTTGTATCAATTTCTTGGGCATATAAAACATTATTTGAATCAACTATAATTAAATTATTTTCTTCTAACTTTCTGCAGTGCAGTTTAAGCAAGTTGCAACGTGATGTAAAAAGCTTAAGACAATCCTAAAGTATTTTGTTTGAATTGAAAATTCAGTACAAATCAGTACAAATTTTGAAAAATCAGGACATTAGCGTGCTGATTGAAGAAATGAATAAAATCAGTACAAGAGCTGAAAAATCAATACTGGACTAATAGAATCAGTACGTCTGGCAACCGTAATTTTTATGCAAATTTTTTAAGCTTAAATGTTTTGTCATCTGAGATGATTTTTTGAAAAAATACTTAAAAACAGTTTTTATTCACAGGAAACTCACTTTTTGGAGGTATTTTTTCAAATCGGTCCAGCTCACGCAAGTCTTAATATTTTTCAGAAATATTTTGGTGCAAGTCTTAAAATGTAATGCATTTTATGATTGCGGTGGAAAAATACCACCGATTTTTTGNATATCGAGAAAAAAATCGATAAGTAGTCGATAACAAAATCGAGAAAAATATCACAATAACAAAACCGACAAAAATATCGGTTAGTATTTTGATCTTTCCTTGTCTATCTTCATCTCTACTTTTATCGGTATCCTCATCCTCATATTTTGCTTTATATTTATCTTTATTTTTATACCCGCGCGCACTTGTGCACAAGGGTGTTATAACTTTGTTCACATAACGGTTGTTTGTAACAGGCAAAACGAATCTAAATAGATATAGACATGTATACATGTCTACATAAATGATGAGAATGAAAAGAGAAATCGATTAAGCGGTGACTGTCTGTCCGTCCGTCTGTGCACACGATAACTCGAGTAAAAATTGAGATATCCTAACGAAACTTGGTACGTGCACTTCTTTCTGGCGTAGGACGGATGGTATTGAAAATGAGAAAAATCGTACATACGCCTACCTCCCATATAACGGTAATTTTCAGAAATACGAAAACTGCGATATTTTAGATTATTCACTCAAAATTGATATTTACAATAAGTTTTAGACATGGGCGTAGCCACGCCCACTTATGGTTACATGTGTATATCTTGGTAACCGCTGCACCAATTTCTTCTAAACTTGGCATATAACGGTAATTTGGAGAAACACGAAATCTTCGATAAATCGGTAAATATTAAAGTTAATTTATTCAAAATTGATGCTTGCAACAATTCTTTACCAAGAAATACGCTTATGGTAAAATTTTTATGATCACATATATGTATGTATCTCGGTAACCGTTCCACCGATTTGTACCAAGCTCGGTATGTTTATTGTGCTTGCCACATAAAAGCAAAAAGTTGAAAATTATTGAAATCGGAGTAAAATTACGGCCGCTCTTCATATAACGGTAAATTTCAGAAATGCTTGAAACTTCAATATTTCGAAATTTAAGGACGCTAATTTACTCAAAAATGATACTCCCCTGCTTACCATTCGGAAAGGGGAAAAATATATAATTAATACTTGCGCCGGGTATTTAATGTTCGGCTCCGCCCGAACTTAGGCTTTCTTACTTGTTACTTTTATGTTTATCATTTTCTTCATTTACATATGCCCCTTCACCTTTGCCCTTATATAAGTAAATTGTTTAAATTTACCAAATTTTTGCCTGTATCTTTACATCTCCTTGTTTTTGTTTTTACTTTTCACATTTATTTTCATTTTTGTATTGGTTATTCGTTAACCTTTTATTAGCAAGTGTTTATTAAATTAACAACATACATTCAAGAAGCACTTATTTCCGTCCCAATCATTTCCATTGCACTATTTCCGTGTACAATTTCCGTTGAATTTGCCAATTTACTCCCAACCAACCAATCGCCGCTAAAGAAGTTTCACTTCAAAAATTTAACTTCCTTCTTCTTATATTCAGCGCTTCGACATTCTCGCCGTCGATCTGTAACAAATTGAATCTATTAAGCCCTCTATAGCGAGCAAGTTAGGACAATAAATAGTCGCGCTGCTGTTGGCGACGGCAGCGGTGGAGGCCCCTTACTTGACACAGAGGCCAATATCAGCAGTCTGGTGTGTACCACTTCGACATCAACGGGCACTACATAGAAGTGGCAGTGGCACTGCACTACGTATAAAAAATTCCCCAAGTAATGTCGAAGACTGTAAGCGTAAGTTGGCAAA